ATCGACCCATCGACCCATCATTCAAACTCAAACAGCGCATGACTTTCTTGTAAACTCGCATATACTGTACTGTAGTTTCAATAACTTATTACTGGTAATACAGTACTACACTGGAGTAACTACAGTACAGGTGTGAAAAAATGTGATAAGAACGAAATGAATTGTCTGTAATTTCTATATTCTTGATCGGAAACACTTCTAGAATATATTAAATTAAAGCTAAGAATATAATAAAACATTTGAGTGAAAAAAGCAATTGATTATCTTTGAAATGGCCAAGATAATTAGTCCCGAAGTTGATGGTATGATTTTAACTTTTTTACGGCTTCGGTGACCATAAAATAAGATATAAAAATTCGCCGAAGAAGAATATTGTGGCCAAAGACAAGAATATTCTCAAGATAGATAAGAACTGTCAAATATAGTTAAAATTTGTAAACAAATCGGAGGTATTCGACCGAAAAATTGTCTTAACCGCCGGAACAAAATTATAAAATTTTTCATATTTTAACAGAATTTTGAGGTAATTTTGTTATCGGAGGTCAAGATCATATCTCGATCATTGTTTTTCCAATTTCTTTCCAAATTTAAATTGTATTTTGTATTTATAACAATTGTAGATGAATGGTGGACATTATCTTCTTCTAGACCACAATATTCTTCCTCAGATCTTCTTATCTTAATATATGGGTTTCTATGGGTTAAAAAAGTTAAAATAACACCATCAACCTCGGGACTCATTATCTTGACCATTTTAAAAGATAATCAATTTCTGTTTTCACTCAAATGTTTATTATATTCTTAGCTTTAATTTAATATATCTTATGACTGTTTCCGATCAAGAATATAGAAATTACAGACAATTCATTTCGTTCTTATCACATTTTTGCACACCTGTATTTTCAGTATTTTAGTGCCAATCGTGAAAGTAAAACATAAATTCATAAAAACCCAAATGAATAATAAAATTTTATTATACATTGTACTAACGATTCAATGAAATACTGTATACCTTAATTACCATTAACTATAAAAGTAATTATTAAAATAATTTAAAATTAAAGAAATCACAGATAAATAATGAATTAATTTTTAAAAATTAATTGTAATAGATTTTGCAAACTCAGTTTAATTTATTTTTAAATAATATAATTGAGATTTAAAAATATGAAATAAATTAACTATGTTTATATTAGTGTCAATTATTATTAAAAGGCTACAAAATTGTCCTGTCCATTTATCATGTGAAAGAAATCTATTCTTAATACTGTATGATATCAATTGCATAATAGTGTTTCCCTTTGAATATTACCGGGATGCCTACAATTTCCGATACATTTTCAACAAAAAAATAATTATAATGCCAGGCCACTGATCCCTAACCTATAAATTAATTTTTATGAGTAATATATAATTTTTATATTTATATGTTTGTGAACATAATAGTAATATAATATAATATTGTGTTTATAATATTAATATAACAGTTATTTTATAACATTTATAACAGCTATAATATTATATTCTATAACTCATAATATTATTCATATAGATCTATTACTGTAATATTTAGATATAGCTCTGTCATACAGAAGCCTATCAAATATGGTACAAGGTCAGATAAAATTATTTAACCTTCATTCTTAATGTAAATAAATAACACATTTTTCGATGAATTGCTATATTCGTATTATTTACGTATATAATTAGTAGCATTTCGTTGTAATTCAATATTTGTCTAATAATTCCAACAATTTTCTAAAAATATACTGGTTCACTTTAAGTTTATTTTAAAATATCATAAACAATAATATCATATATTTAAAAATGTGTGACAAAAATACCAATGTCAATTATATAGTGCGTGAAATGAAATTATCCGATTGCAGGGAAGTGCAAGAAATCTGGGAGTCCGTCGGCTTTCCGACACATAAACACCAACCGGAAGTTGTTATGAATATCGACCCCAACGCCCAGTATGTGGCCCAGGATATAGACACCGGTATATCACTCTTGATTGTTTAAACTAGATTAATTACTGTTCATTTCATGTGACTTTGTCTCATAATATATTTACAAATATGATTAACATTTAAATATATTAAAATTAATTGAAACTGCTATAATTTAGTATCATGCTAAATTACACAATTTAACATATAAAATGTCTTAGATTAATTAATGATATTTTTATGATCAGGAAAACTGTTGGGATACCTGTGTGGTGTCAATGTGGCTGAGGATTTAGCCAACCTTGGTTCCTACTGTGTGCGACCAGAATACCAGGGTAAGGGTATTGGTAAAGCATTGTGGGCTAAGATTATTGAACACTTGGGCGACAGAAATCTCGGACTTGTATCGTCTGAACAAAATACATTTGAGTTTTACAGAGATGTTCATAATTTCAGGTATATTTCCGACAGAAGTCTCATTGTAATGGCCGGTCCACTGACCCCTAACCCACAACTTATTGATAATATCGATGGCATCTCTTTGGTGACCATCGATGGAAACAATGTTCGCGATGTCATTGAATACGACTTTGTGCAATCGCCAAATCTGGCGTCACATGAGTAACTCAAGAAAATATTTTAGGGTCTTTCATAATTAGATGATCGTTAACTGCTGGTACCAGTACACCACCCAATAACAAAGTATGGACTTTGTCATATACGGCAATACTCAGTTGAGCCCCTGTATGCTAATAATGAACGCATCGCCGAGTTATTGGTCGGTAAATGTGTGGCACGATTGCAGCCAAACCAGAAATTAATTATTGTTTCATACCTGAAACAGATATACGGCAATACTCAGTTGAGCCCCTGTATGCTAATAATGAACGCATCGCCGAGTTATTGGTCGGTAAATGTGTGGCACGATTGCAGCCAAACCAGAAATTAGCGTACAAGTGTTGGGACAGTAGTGAAAAGTCACAAGCGATAGCCATTAAACTTGGATTGAGCGAGGTAGTCCGAATGTGGACCATGTACACCAAAAAATTAGTAGACCCAGCTCATATTGATAAAGCCTTTTGTCCCGCTAGTCTTGACATTTATCTCTTTTAAAAATGATAAGTGTAATACTTATTATATCTGATGTATTACAATACATAACAATATATTATATTAAATTGACATATAATTATTGGATTGGATTTAGTTTATTGCTATTATACTATTATAATATGTTTGATTTTATTGGTTTGTGCAATTTAACATTTTATATTGTTTTTGTATTTGTTGTATAAAAATGAGTTTCTTATAACTAATTTGTAATAATAAAACTCACATTCATAGAATATACATGATTTTTTTATCCAGTCACAATGGACTAATTATGTTTAATTATTGATAAAACATTTATAAGTAATATTAAGTGTAATATGGGTACACATTTGAATTGATATTTTCAAGTGACCATGTTTACAGCCGATAAATTACCTGAAATAAAAAAATCAAACATTTATTTGACATCAAACATTATTATACACTGAGTAACTGATTAACTAGAAAATTACTGTATATATACAAATGATTACACAAATACTAATTAATGGAAAGTTTTAGAAAAATTGAATAAAGTTTTTCCGTATGAATCACAGCACTTAACATATATCTTAGACCCTAAACACATATCTTAATTTTAGAAATACATATTTCATGATATTTATTAGTTATATACTGAGTAAACGACTCCTTTCAAAAATTTTTTATTTATATTTATAATTAATAACTGTTATATTCATAGTATAACTCATAATATTAACAAATATTCACTTTGTTTTACAAGAAGCCTATCAAATATTGGAACAAGGTTAGATAAAATAATTTAGCCTTCATTCTGAATACAGATAAATAACACATTTTCTGTGAATTGTTAGTATTTATCATACATTAAGTTGTATTTCCTAATAACCCAATAATTTTTCTAATAATTCTAATAATTTCTAAAATTATACAGGTTGACTTTAAAATTATTTTAAAACAAATTAAACACTATTGACACATACTGCATTGAAAAATGTGTGAAAAAAATACAAAGATTAATTATATAGTGCGTAAATTGCAATTATCTGATTGTGGTGAAGTGCATGAAATCCGGGAGTCTGTCGACTGGCCGACATATATACACGATTCGGAAGTTATTATGAATATCGATCCCAACGGCCAGTATGTGGCTCAGGATATAGACACCGGTATATAACTCCTGATTGTTTAAACTAGATTAATAATTAATACGGTAATTATAACGAGTAGATTCGTTTCATTTAACTTTTCACCCATAATATCTTTATACAACAATATTAAAATTTAAATGTAAAATAAAAATTATTTTTAATTATTTTAATTTAGTTTCATGCTAAATTACAATTTCTAACATTTAAAATGTCGCAAGTTAATTAATAATATTTTCATGATTAGGAAAACTGTTGGGATACTTGTGTGGGGTAAATATCACTGAGGATTTAGCATACATTGGCTCCTACTGTGTGCGACCAGAATACCAGGGTCGGGGTATCGGCAAAGCACTGTGGGATAAGACTATTGAACACTTGGGCGACCGAAATCTCGGACTTGTATCGTCTGAACAAAATACATTTGAGTTTTACAGAGATGTCCGTAATTTCCGCTATATTTCCGACAGAAGTGTGATTGTAATGGCCGGTCCACTGACCCCTAACCCACAACTTATTGATAATATCGATGGCATCTCTTTGGTGTCCATCGATGGACACAACGTCCGCGATGTCATTGAATACGACAAACACGTTAGCGGTTTAGACCGCAGTGTACTCATTGAGAGCTTATATAAAATCCCAGAAAATATTAATCTACTAGCAATTGACGACCATGGTCATGTGATGGGCTATTGTTTCATAAATGAAAAAAATATGAGGCTATACTACGTTGAGCCCCTGTATGCTGATAATGAACGTATCGCTGAATTATTGGTCGGCAAATGTGTGGCACGTTTGACGCCAAACCGGAGGTTAGAGTACAAGTGTTGGACCAGTAGTGAAAAAGCACAAATGATAGGCACTAAACTTGGATTGAGCGAGGTAGTCCGAATGTGGACCATGTACACCAAAAAATTAGTAGACCCAGCTCATATTGATAAAGCCTTTTGTCCCGCTAGTTTGGACTTTTATGTCTTTTAAAAATTATAGTGTAATACATAACAGTATATTGTTTGAAATTTTCATTTGGGACATGGATTTTAAATAACTATTAAATTGTTATATAAATATGAATACTATAAATATTGTAAATACAAAATAATGTTAAGTAATAATTGTATTTTATAATTTAAACATGATAAGCGCGTACAGATATTGTATTCACAGAAATATTTACAAAATTGATTTAAATGAAAAATGGTCTAATAATAAATATATTGTAATGATTTATGCTCATTTAGAAAACATCTGTTTTCATGAAAATTTCCTAATAACCTAATATTTTTCTAATAATTCTAATAAGCTCTAAAACTATACAGGTTGACATTAAAATTATTTTAAAGCATATTAAACACTAATAACAAATATTGAAAAATGTGTGAAAAAACTACAAAGGTCAAGAAATTTTTATTTATATTTATAATTAATAACTGTTATATTCATACTATAACTCATAATATTATCCAAATATTTACTTTGTTTTACAGGAAGCATATCAAATATTGGTACAAGGTTAGATAAAATAATTTAGCCTTCATTCTGAATACAGATAAATAACACATTTTCTGTGAATTGTTAGCATTTATCATACATTTAGTTGTATTTCCTAATAACACAATATTTTTCTAATAATTCTAATAATTTCTAAAACTATACAAATTGACTTTAAAATTATTTTCAAACAAATTAAACACTAATGACAAATATTAAAAAATGTGTGAAAAAACTACAAAGGTCAATTATATAGTGCGTGAATTGCAATTATGTGATTGCCGTGAAGTGCACGAAATCTGGGGGTCCGTCGGCTGGTCGAGATATATACACGAATCGCAAGTTATTATGAATATCGACCCCAACGGCCAGTATGTAGCCCAGGATATAGACACCGGTATATCAGTCTTGATTGTTTAAACTTTATTAATTACTATTCATTTCATGTGACTTTGTCTCATAATATATTTACAATTATGATTAACATTTAAATATATTAAAATTAATTGAAACTATTATAATTTAGTATCATGCTATATTACAAGATCTAACATATTAAATGTCGTAGATTAATTAATGATATATATATGATCAGGAAAACTGTTGGGATACTTGTGTGGGGTAAACATCACTACGATTTAGCATACATTGGTTCATACTGTGTGCGACCAGAATACCAGGGTCGGGGTATCGGCAAAGTATTGTGGGCTAAGACTATTGAACACTTGGGCGACAGAAATCTCGGACTTGTATCTTATGAACAAAATACATTTGAGTTTTACAGAGATGTTCATAATTTCAGGTATATTTCCGACAGACGTGTGATTTTAATGGCCGGTCCACTGACCCCTAACCCACAACTTATTGATAATATCGATGGCATCTCTTTGGTGGCCATCGATGGACACAACGTCCGCGATGTCATTGAATACGATAAACACGTTAGCGGTTTAAACCGCAGTGTACTCATTGAGAACTTATATAAAATCCCAGAAAATATTAATTTAGTAGCAATTGACGACCAGGGTCATGTGATGGGCTATTGTTTCATACTTGAAACAATTAACGGAGTGTACTCAGTTGAGCCCCTGTATGCTGATAATGAACACATCGCCGAGTTATTGGTCGGCAAATGTGTGGCACGTTTGACGCCAAACCGGAGGTTAAAGTACAGGTGTTGGACCAGTAGTGAAAAGGCACAGATGATAGGCACTAAACTTGGATTGAGCGAGGTAGTCCGAATGTGGACCATGTACACCAAAAAATTAGTTGACCCAGCTCATATTGATAAAGCATTTTGTCCCGCTAGTATTGACTTTTATGTCTTTTAAAAATTATAGTGTAATACATAACAATATATTGTTTGAAATTTTCATTTAAATTTTCATTGAATTATATAGAATTAGTTCATTGCTTACTAGTATATTATGTTTACATTTTATTGGAAATTTGTGAAATAAAACATTTTCTATTGTTTATGTTTTTGTTGTATGAATAAACTGATTCTTATAACTAATTGCAATAATAAAACAAACATTCATAGGATACAGATACTCTGATTTTTATTGTGGGGCAAAAATGGACTAATTATGTTTGATAATTAATTACTGATAAAACAATCATTTACGTATTATATTATTAACTGGTCATTAAGTCGTGAGACAAATTTCAAACTATGATCGCGCGCTTAAGAATTTATTGTTGGCATCAAACTATGGTTCAATTTGTAGGCCAGTTATCACTGAATTTGAATATCATATGGATTAGTGTAAATAATTATCAGTAGAATAGTTATAATAAATGAAAGAAATACCTGTCCTTAACAAGTTGTGCATTTTCATTTTAAATACAATAGGAATTGTATTCAAAATATTTTAATGTATATTTAAATAGTCTACAGTAATTTATCTTATATTTATTGATTGTATCATTAAAATATAATTACATAAAAATATTAGAATGTTAATAGGAATTTATTAATTATGTAAATAAATAAAGTTTTAAATTAAAAATAATTCCAATATATGAAATAATTTAACTATGATAGGTTAAAACTGATTTATTTTAATTTATAAATAATAACTATGCATTAATTTAATATTTTGATTTTTATTATTTAAAAAATTTTGTCAAGATAATAAACTGTGATCAACTATAAACAAACTATTTCTTTTGTTAATTAAAAATATTAAATGTTAATCAATTTTAGGAAAAAGTATACGAAAATGTTCAGGGATAATGAAATTTTTATATCTGAATTAGAAAATAAGCATAAGTTATTTACCTTGATCATAAATTGCGAGTAAGCGTGCGAACATGACTTTCGAGTACACACAAAATGCATGATTCCTAACAGTGCTATGAATGGAAGCATTGATTCAATTGTTGCGAACTTTCACTGCTTTGCGTTTGAGAGCACTGTTAAGAACC